CCCTGTATGTATACCAAAAATAAAGTTAGGTACAATGAAGGATAAATTATGACTATAATAATGAAGGTTTAAAAAAGTTTTTTTTTTTTTAAGCAAGGTATTGTTAAGAGAAACTAGTTAAAAAATGTTAAAAGAGGAAAGAGGAAAAGTTAAAAAAATTAGAATAAGATAAAAATTAAATTAAAAACAATTTAATTAACTTTGCAAGACGAAAGAATCATGGGCATAAAGCCATGAATTCCATGCTTTGCTTTCCCTTCCTTTGAATTCCGCTGTTTTCCTTGATCAGTGAGCTTGGTCTTGGCTGGATGTTCTTGCTGATCTTCTGGGGGAGGGGCCTATTGTAGTGATTCTCAAATGTCTTTGCCCATGGCGGATGATTCTCAAATGTCTTTGCCCGAGGCGGAATTGAGCTGCCCTTGCCAGGGGCCAGGCTAAGTAATCTCCTTAGGTTGGTTGGCTCTTGGAGCTTTTGTTCCTTAAATGCTTTCCATAGCACTCTAGAGGATGAGAATGAAAATTGCAGCCTCCTAATCTCCAGCCCGGAGGAGCCAGGAGCTTGGGGCCCCACTCCTCAGTATGCCCTCCGCGAAAAGCTCTCAATCACTCCCGTCTCCCTGGTCTCCAGTCAAGCTCTGAGCTAACCCGGACTGTGACCAAGCATTTCTGTCTCTGGTACACAGTCCCATTAGGAGTCTCCAAACCTGGCAGATCCAGGCACTCTTCTCTTCCAGTGGATAGAGGTGGGTCTCCCCAGATCTGCCTCTTATGGGGTCTCTGCTCAAAGAGCAGTGGCCTGACTGTGCCATGGATTACATTTAAGGTAACCCCTAGCTGAGAACTCGCTCTTTGGCTCTGTCTCTATAGCCGGCTTCCTGGCTCTGATACCTGTGAGCTCTGCTACACTCAGACACCCCTGATCTTTCAGTGACCCTGCAGGACCTGAGACCACACTGTCCCCACGAGGGCTCCACCCCTGCTTAGCTTCTGGAGCGATGTCCCTCAGTGGAGCAGACTTTTAAAAGTTCGAATTTTGTGCTCCATTGCTCCACTTCTTGCTAGGAGCTGGCCCCTCCACCCGTGGTCTATCTTCCTGTCACTTTGGATTCATTTCTTCACACATCCTACCTTTCAGAAAGTGGTTGATTTTCTATTTCTAGAAATACTCCTCTTCTCTTCAATCTCCTGTTGGGGTTGTAGGTGTTTGGAATGGTTTGATAACTATCTAGCTGAACTCCTGCGATCTGATGTCTTCTCAGTCTGCTACTCCTCCGCCATCTTGACTCCTTGGTCCGCCATCTTGACTCCTTGGAATTTTAACACATTTTGATACTCAGTTGCCTTATTTCCTCTTTTCCAGAGACTGATTAGATTCATCCAGAATCAAGCCTAGGCATCAAGTATTCCTTTTGTATAAGAAAGAAAGGAAATTCAGAAACATACATATAATGCTGCAATAAGTAGAAAGGTGCATATATCTTTTCAAGTTAGTGTTTTGTTTTCCCAAGGTAAGTACCCAGTAGTAGAATTGCTAGATCATATGGCTAATTTTATTTTTAATTTTTCAAGGAAACTCCACACTGTTTTCCACAGTGGCTGCATCAATTTACATTCCCACCAATAGTTCATGAGGATTCCTTTTTCTCCACTTCCTCACCAATATGTTATTTCTTGTCTTTTTGATTCTAGCAATTCTGACAGGTTTAAGTTTGTGATCTTGATTTGCATTTCCCTGATGATTAGTGATGTTGAACATCTTTTCCTGTGTCTGTTGGGCATTTATATGTCTGGAAAATGTCTGTTTGGGAATTTTTATTGCAGCACTATTTGCAATAGCCGAGATATGGAGGCTACCCAGGTGTCCTTTAGTAGATGAATGGATAAAGTAGTGGCGCGCGCATGCACACGTGCACGCACGCGCACACATGCGCACACACTGCACTGGAATATTAGCTGTAAAAAAGACCGAGATCTTGCTATTTGCAATGACATGAAGGGACATAGAGGTTATAATGCTAAGAAAAATAAGTCAGACAGAGAAAGACAAATACCATATGATTTCATTTGTATGTAGAATTTAAGAAACAAAACAAATGAACTAATGAGGAAAAAAAGAGACAAACAATTACCACCCCCCTGCCAGACTCTTACATATAAAGAATAAACTTGTGGCTGTTAGAGGGGAGATAGGTGGGAGGATGGATGAAGTAAAGGAGATTAAGAATATACTTACCATGGTGAGCACTGAGTAATATATAGAATTATACAACCCTTATATTGTACACCTGAAACATACATATATCCGCTTATTTTTATATAAACACATAAAGTATAAACCAGAAAACAATGAAGTTGGTTACCTACAAGGGATGATAAAGAGATGGAATGGAAGTGCTGGTATATTGTAGGAGTTCATTTCTGTTGGCTTGCAGGAACCAACTGTTAATTTTTCCGGTTTTGCATGTTGGTTGATGTTATAATGGTAGTGTGAGATTAGCCACGTGGTAGTGTGACTAATAATTTCCATACCATGAAAATAAGCAAATGTTATAAGTTTGGACTGTTTTCCTCTAGTGGTGCAGCATCCATGGGGTAGAAGGGAAATGAAGGGAGGGTCATGTCTTTGAGTATACTTTTTAAAATACATATTTGTCTTTTAGAATCATGTCAGTGTTCCATATAGTCAAAAATAAAAATAAATAGATAAGAATGGGAAGGCTTAAAAAAACCCCTAAAACTGAAAGTGAATGGAAAAAAAATGTACCATTGTATTCCAAGTGAATACTTATAACCACATTGAAGGGGGGAAAAGAATAATCCCTGTAACCACAGTATTTGACTACACATCAGTCTTGAATAGGATGAAGTTGGAAGGGATAGTGAGTGCAAGAATTACAAACAAATTCTGAATTCTTTTTAGGAGGTTGGCTTATTATAGTGGCATGGGTGAGGCAATAATGAAACTATTTTAGATGTATAACACTGAGCAAAAAGTCAATATTGTGAATCAGTATTTTCACTTGGAAGAAGGTACATACAAATATGGCTTGGGGGAGGTGGAAAAGGTCTAGATTTGAATTGAAGGTTTGCTGTGAACTCATGATTCCTAATATATATATGTGTGTGTGTGTGTGTGTGTGTTTGTGTGTGTGTGTGTATAGATATAGGTGTAGGTAGTATAGATATATAGATATGTATCCCATCTTGCTAAATAAGCTAAGAAGCAGGGACTGGGCAATGTAGGTGGAAGATGAACCTGAACAAACAAAAAGATGATGGCATATCATAGGGACATATGATCCAACTTAAAGGGCTCCCTACTGGTAAAAAAAACCCACAGGTATTAATTATAAATAGTTAAAACTGGTATTCATATTTCCATATGGACTATAAATACATAAATAAGTGCATAAATAAGTAGATAAATGATGAAATGAATAATTGGGGGGTGGGTAAGAGGGCTCTCGCTTACGGTAGAATGTTGAGTGCTTACTGATAAATGCAGAGGGACTATTCAATTTTATAAAATTAAAATGACCGCTGAGGTTCAAGAACATCATGTACCCCTAGATAATGATACTTTGAGGAAGAAAGCTACATCACCTATTTAGTATGCTGCTCAGAAAAGCATAACCTGAATCTAATTGTGAGAGAAGTCCCAACTAATGAAGCCTTTATTTTACAAAAGTGAGGTGCTATATTCTTCCAAAGTCCCAGAACAGAAAGGAAGGTTGTAGAAATGTTCCTATATTAAAGGAGGCTAAAGGCAATATTTGAACCAAGTCTAAATTATATACTTGAAGGGGAAAAATGCAACAGAGGCATTATTAGATCAGCTGACAACTTTGGAATATGAATAGTTGATTAGATAAAACTATATCATTGATACATTTACTGAAGTTGATAACTGTGCTTCAAATATGTTAAAAAAATCCATATTTTTAGTAAACACATACCAAAGTATTAAGGGGTAAAGGGACATGACATATGTAACTTTTCATTAAATGGTTCTATATATATGCTGCATGTTTTTGTGTATGTGTGTGTGTGTGTCTCTACAGAGACACACACACACACAGGGAGACACAGAGAGGAAGGAATGGATATATTGAAAGAAAGAGAAAGAGAGTGTGGGCAAATGAAAAAAACAAATGGCATAATGTTAACAGTGGGTGAATCTGGGTAAATATTATACATATTTTCTTAATTATTTTTATTCATGTAATTTTTTCTGTAAATTTGAAATTAATTCCAAATAAAAAGTTAAAAAAATATAATGCTATACTTCATGAGTTATTATATGTATGCTTAACATTAAGTTAAATATTACAAGTTTATAATAAATTTATTATAAGTTTATAAATTGAATATTATAAGCTAAACCAGATTTATATATCTCTTGCATCTAAGATTTTTTTCTTAAGATATTTAATGATATTGTTGAATTAATTGAATATATATATCAAGGAACTTTGTCAATTTGTGTTAATTTTATTACATAAAAGAAACCATGGGTGAGCCTGTGGTGGGTATTAGGGAGGGCACATATTGCATGGAGCACTGGGTGTGGTGCATAAACAATGAATTACGGAACACTGAAAAAATAAAATTAAAAAAATTTAAAAAAATAGAAACCATGTTAGATCATATAGGTTTTTTGTTTATTATCTTAACTTACAGAATAATTTAAATGTGAAGATTGTCCATACATTATAATCTAGAATCTCATCTTGAGATAATTTCCTTCAAAATGTCTATTTAGCATGGTAAAATACATAATGCATTACTGTTTTAATATATATATATGATTTTACTAAAAGTTATATATTTTATGTTTTGATAGGTATAAGATCTTAATTCATCTGTATTTTTCACTCCGTTAAGAAATAAATTAAACTCCATATGTTATATTAACTAAGAAGGCAGCTTTTAACTCATGAAATATCAAAATGTACTATATAGTACCTTTTTCATTGGCATATTCTCCTTTTCTTTATCAGAGATTTGTACCTATCAAGTCAATCACTCCAGCTCCTGGCACATATAATGAATCTCGAACTGCTTTCAATTCCTTGAAGAAAACACCAGCACTGAAAAGTACTCCATTTGGTCAAAGTGCTGCTCGATTCACACAGGACTCCAGGACAAAGGAAATGCCAGGTTAGTAATTAATCCACGTAGTTTTGTAACTTAATATTCAAGGCGGATTACCAAAAAGTACATATTTTTTGTTCTGTGGTTTGTGTTGTCATTTTAAGTCACATTTTTTAAAGTATTGACCATACACTAGACACAGATACATTAAAAATAATGTATAATTTTAAAAAAAGATTTCAATTTAACATGTCACATATCTTATTGGTAATTTTCTATTATTTTCCTTCATTCAATAAATTTCCTATTTCTCTTTATGAGTGAACTTATTTATCAACTATGTGGTCACTGCCAGTATTTTAACTTATGAAATGCACTTTCGTTAAAACTTTATTTTGGGGTTATCCTAAAATGTTCTAGTGTTCTCACTGGATATTTTAGTATATAGAACTAAGAATCTAGCACAAAAATAACTTATGTAAATGTTAACATATAGTTATGTGTTGCTGCATCGCAATCTCAATGGCATGAAAACACAGGGTTTTCTTTTGTATCTTATTATTTTGTGGGATGGCTGGAAGGCAGAGCTTAGATATGGCTGTCATTCAGTGTGCATGCATAGCTTCAGCATTGCTGCCCCAGGGTAGCTGCTCTTTTAATTTGGTAGCTCAGGACTCTACAAGACATGGCAGGATGCTGCAAGCCTTATTTCCTAATGTTAGAAATCCCACATTCCATTTGTTAATCAGGTTACTAAGGGCACTACATATTGAACAGAAGAGCATAACACTTTATCTCTTAATGCCATGGGTAACAAAGAATTTTTGGCCATCTTTAATTTACTATAGAGTACCCTCTGCCCACAGAACATTTACAGTTGTCCTCCATGTTTTCTCCAGGCCTCCAAAGTCTCATGTAATTATGGTGTGATCTTGAAGTCCAGGATTTTGTTACCTAAGACTTGTATTGCTATAGGTCAGAATTTTTGGGTGTGATACTTTAGAGAAGCTTCTTGAGTATGACTTCTATCTGTTAGACAAGCTGTGAACTAAAGACACACATTATCTGCCTCACACATCCCAAAACACAGCAATGGGAGAATTACAGGATATTCATACTACATGCTCCTATTCAGAAAAGAGAAAGCTAGAAGCCCTTAATAATCATAATCCTATAACAGCTATGAAATCTAACTAGGCACATTTTATAGTTTCCTTGATTAGGGCCCAGTTGGGCTCCCTGGGAATGATTTTCCAAGGTCCTTTGTTCTGCCTTTTGGGCTCTTGATTTTAAATCATCCTTCCTTTTCTGTAAGAAATAGGCTGTGTTTCTGGCTGCCTAACTTGCTTACACCAAGTTCCACCCACTGTGTTCTGGCAGGACTGCCCTTCTGAGTCAAGATTGCCACAGTCCCAGAAGATAAGATCCCTTGCCCCAGAAACCCCTGTCCATACCACATCTCCTGATCAGAGAGTTTTGCAGGATTTCAGTTCTGGCAGAGTTGGTGTCAGGTCTCATTTCACAAGCAGACCAGAGTGCACCTAGTTAAAAACTCACCACATTCAGTCCAGGGACCAAACACAGCAGGCAAGGAGAGCCTCTACAGACAACTGGTCTGAAGTTTAGAGCAGCCAAAATACAATAGCATAGTGCATGCAGCACACCTGGAGACATTTCATGAAGTGGTACACCCTGAGCACTACATGACCTCTTTTTCATTAGGTTATTACTCTCAGGAGCAGGCGACGTAACTGGCTTTTCTAACAGAGAAGAAGGCAGAGATTTAGACAAAATTCTAAGACAGAAGAATTTATTCCAAATGAAAGAACAAGATAAGGCCACGGTCAGAGATCTAAGCAAAAACAGATACAAGTAACATGCCTGATGGAGAATTTAAAGCAACAATCCTAATGATACTCACAGGGCTGGAGAAAAGAATAGAAGACATTAGGGAGACCCTTATCACCGAGATAAAAGAGTTAAGAAAGAATTAATCAAGAGATGCAGAATACAAAAAACGAGACTGGACATGGGCTTGATGCAATTAACAGCAGGCCAGAAGAATCAGAGGAATGAATTAGTGACTTAGAAGACAAAATAATGGGAAATAATAAAGCTGAACAAAAAGGAGAGTAAGAATTATGGGACATGAGAGTAGGCTTTGGGAGTTCGTGACTCCAACAGATGTAATAACATTTGTATTACAGAAGTCCCAGAAGAAGAAGAGAGAGAAAAGGGAGTAGAAAATTTATTTTAGGAAATAATAGCAGAAAATTTTCCTAAAATGAGAAAGGAAACAGATATCTAGATCCAGGAGGCACAGAGAACTCCCATCAAAATCAACAAAAGCAGGTCCACACCAAGACATATTGTAATTACACTTGTAAAATATAGTGATAAACAATCTTAAGAGCAGCAAGACAAAGGAAATTCTTAATTTACAAGGGAAGACCTTTAAGGCTAGCTGGAGATTTCGCAACAGAAATTTGTCAAGCCAGAAGGAAGTGGCATGATATATTCAAAGTGCTAAATATGAAAAATTTGCAGCCAATAGTACTTTATCCAGCAAGGCTATCATTCATAATAGGAGAGATAAAGAGTTTGCCAAACAAACAAAACTAAAGGAGATCATGGCCACTACACTAAGAAATATTAAAGGGAACCCTTTGAGTTCAAAGGAAAAACCAAAAGTGACAAAGATAAGAAAGGATCAGAGAAAATATCCAGAAACAATGACAAGACAGGTAATAAAATGTCAATAAATGCAAATCTACCAATAATTACTTTGTGACTATAAATGGACTAAATACTCCAGTCAAAGCCACAGGGTGTCAGAATCAATAAACAAACAAGACCCATCTATATGCTGCCTACAAAAAACTCATTTTAGAGCAAAGACACCTGCAGATTGAAAGTGAGGGGTTGGAGAAATATCTATCATGCAAATGGATGTCAAAAGGAAGCCAGAGTAGCAATATTTATGTTGGATAAACTATACTTTATTTAATTAATTTATTTTAAATATTTATTTATTCATTTGAGAGAGAGAGAATGCAAGAGCATGGGAAGGAGGAGCAAAGGGAGAGGGAGAGAGAAAAATTCGAGGAGATTCCACGCTGATTGCAAAGCCCGACATGGGGCTCGATCTCACGACCCTGAGATCATGACCTAAGCCAAAGCCAGGAGTTGGTTGCTTAACTGACTGTGCCACTCAGGTGCCCCGAAACTAGACTTTAAAATAAAGACTTTAGAAAGAGACAGAGAAGGGCATTATATAACCATAAAGGGGTTGATACAACAAGATATAACATTTGTAAATATTTATGCACCCAACATGGGAGCACCCAAATATATAAAATGATAACAAACATAAAGGAACTAATTGACAATAACATAATAATATTAGAGGAGTTTTACACCCCACTGACATCAATGGAAGGGTCATCTAAATAGAAACTAACAAGGACACAGTGGCTTTGAATGCTACTCTGGACCAGATGGTGACTTAACATATATTCAGAACATTCTATCCTAAAACAGCAGTATACATATTGTTTTCAAGTGTACATGGAAGGTTCTCCAGAATAGATCACATATTAGGTCACAAAACAGGCCTCAACAAATACAAAAAGATTGAAATCATTTTCTGACCACAACACTAAGAAACTAGAAGTTAACCACAAGAAAAAATTTGGAAAGACCACAAATACACAGAGATTAAACAACATGCTACTAAACATTGAACGGGTCAACCAAGAAATCAAAGAAGAAGTAAAAAAAAGACATGGAAACAAATGAAAATGAAAGCACAGTGGTCCAAAACCTTTGGAATATAGCAAAAGTGGTTTTAAGGGATGTACATAGCAATAAAGGCTTACCTCAAGAAGCAAGAAAAAATTCTCAAAGAAGTAGGCTGTGTTTGTAGTTGGAGCTTTCGCCTATAGAAAATGAGGGGTCTACAACCACTTTTCATTTTGCAGTGTTGTTGTCTCTTTCTTTCCAAGTTTGTATAATTCCCTTTTAAAAAAAACTTTGTGGGCATCTGGGTGGCTCAGTTGGTTAAGCAACTGCCTTTGGCTCAGGTCATGATCCTGGAGTCCCAGGATCAAGTCCCACATCAGGCCCTCTGCTCATTAGGGAGCTGGCTTTTCCCTCTGCCCCTCACCCCTTTCATGCTCTCTCTCTCTCTCTCAAATAAATAAAATCTTTAAAAAAAAAAACTTTGTAAGTACCTTATTATATTGACTTAGAATCAAATACACTGGACAAAAGCCACATTCACATATACTTCGTGGGAAAACCCTTGTCTACTTTAAGTCACCTTTGGTGCTGCTGTGTTTTGATACTCTTAGATTCTTCTGAACATTATTATTTTAGCCAAAAGGGTCTATGACATATGACCTTAAAATTCTTGGAAGCCTTTCCTTTAACTGAAAAATTCTATGACATACTATCTTAAATCTTTCTGAGGTCTTAACAAAGGGTCTTGCAGTCATACCCTGGATTTGGTCTTCGCTCTCAGACCATTTCTTGAGAGCTTTTTGCTATTGTAGAGATGGGATAAAAAATAATTTTACTTTCAAACCCATAAATTTTGATTTCTCCTTGAAAACAACAGTTTGAACTCATCTTTTTCTTTCCATACCTTGTCACACATGGCTAAAAACAACCAGTTAGCCCTTTGGATATTCAACCTGAAAACTTCCTTAGCTAGAAACTACTTATTTGTTAAATATTTTCTTCATTATCTCAAGCATTAGTTTTGTTAAAATCTCAGCCATTACATTATTCAAGTTGTCTTTTCTCTAGCCTCCAATAGCATTTTCTTCCTGACCCTTAAGCCATCATTAACTGTCCTGTCATGTCCCTTTCTCTAAGTCTTGAGTTATTCCAGCTTCTGACCCATTGCTATAAATTTTGTTATGATAATTTGTTATGGTATGTCTCTACTGGTACAAAATTATTTACTACTCATGCCATTGAGAAGTTGAGTCTTCTTTGTCTCCATTCCAGTCTTGGTTAGTCTGGTGTCTTTTCTGACCAATAACATGCAGTGGAAGTGATATTTTAGCACTTCTTAGGCAAAATCATGAGCTTTACAGTATATAACTGGGCCTGTTGAAACAGTTGGTCTTGGAGTCCTGAGCCTCTGTGCAGTCTGAGTATTCTAAGACTGCAGTTCTGAAGAGGTCATGTGTAGGTGGCTGGCACTACACCAGCTGAGCCTATGAATCTGAAATCCAAAATATTTCTAAATATGAACTTATTGACTGGTCCAGCTGCCTTAGAATTGGGTCTTGTTTTCAGTTTTGTGGTCTACTGTATTATGAATAAAGCACTACAAATTCCCTAAAGGTTAGTTTATTTGTAAAGGGTACAGTTAAATTATGATGACCCTTCCATGCTAATCCTGAATCTTACATAATTTAAGAATTACTGAGAATGGCCTAATGGAACTTCAATTTTTTTCTGTGTAGATATTAGTGTACAGTAATAAATTGGGCCCGTCAATCAGTTCTAGAACATACTTATAGGTTACTTTTAGAAGGTTACCTTAAACTCTCTAGTTCTGGGGTTCCTGGGCATTTCTATAGTTGCTGAGTAGAAAAATGAATGTGAAAACCTCTAATGTGAGTGACTTACATGATTAGGATGGCTTTTCACATCAGATGCTTAACAAGGTACTACTTGTGATGTATATACTTTGAGTGAGGTCCCTATATTTAAACACTTAAGCTGTAATGTCTTCTGTTGTCTTCTCCTGCCAGAAGAGAGACAGATCTCAGATACTTGTCTTTTAAATACCTTAAATGGTGGTCCAAATAGTTTTCATTACACTTTCTATTTACCTTCTCTTCTAAACATTACAAGTGGAGGAATGTTTGAAGATTGCAGAAAAAAGATATTAGCATTTAGGTTTTGGAGAGTTGGCACAAGATAATTTTTGGTAGAGATTTTTGAGAAATAGATATTAGAACTGGAATATTTGAAAATTGGGAAGAGTTTATGGGTAGCTTCTTTGAGAAAAACCTTCTATTTGATTATGTATGATGATTTGATCACTTTTAGTCCAGAAAGCACCTAAAGTACATTTAGCCTCATACCAAAGTGCCCATTTGTCAACTGTTTGTTTCCTGCCTACAATGAGAAAGAAGATTGTACCAGAATGTAAATCAACACAATCCTTCCTTTATGGAGAAAGACTAGCTACAAAATGCTTAGCCAAATAGTCAATTTATATTTAATTATAAGCTCTTTTTCTTGTGGATTGTTCTTGGACAAGCAACAGCCCACAGACCACATTTTGAGTAACACTGATATAGTCAATTTCTGTATCTTCAGACAAGGAACTTGCATCCCAGAAAAACAAATGAGATTGAAGTTATGTTTTATAATTATTTAGGTGTAGAGCTAATTTAGTAGAATTAGTTGATAACATGGGTACAACTAAATTAAGTGTTCTTTCAAGTATATATTGCATTTTATGGATATTGCTGGTCACTGAAACTGATTTTTTAATATTACTGAATTGTAAAACATATGTACAAATATACAAAGATACAAAAATCTAAATATTTGTTTCAAATATTTTAATGTTTTAATAAAACTTTTTTCAATGGCATAGAAAGTTTTTATGATTTTGAATGAAAAAACTGTTATTCATTCAGATTGCCACTGTAGAAAATATTCCAGGTTATAAATATGTCCTGAAAGATAAAAGGCAAAAATAAAATAACTGTGCTTGCTGGCCTGCCTGCCTGCCTTCCTTCCTCTTTCTTTCTTTCTTTCTTTCTCTCTCTTTCTCTCTCTCTCTCTTCTTTATTGACATATAATTTACACAATAAAATAATTCATTTTAAGTGTATAGTTTGGTGAGTTTTGGTAAATATATGTAACCACCACTACAAATAAATTTTGGAAATTTCCATCATTTAGAAGATGCTCTCTCATTCCCCTCTGCATCTACTTTCCACCCATTCCAGGCTACTGTCTCTGTCACTATGATGTTGCATTTTCTGGAATTTCATATAAATAGGATCATATGTTATTCAGGAGTTTGTCTATCTTCTTCTACTTGGTATCATGTTTTTGAGGTTGATTCCTATTATTGCATTTATATTTCCTATTTATTGCTGAGTAGTATTCTATTGCTTGGGTATAGCGCATTTTTTTTTTTTTTAATTTACCAGCTGATGGACATTGGATTGTTTTCATTTTTCTTTTTTTATAAATAAATAAATTAATTAATTTTTTCTTTTGTATTAACATATCATGTATTATTAGCCCCAGGGGTACAGGTCTGTAAATCGCCAGGTTTACACACTTCACAGCACTCACCATAGCACATACCCTCCCCAATGTCCATAACGCAACCACCCTCTCCCTACCCACCTCCACCCTCACCCTCGGCAACCCTCAATTTGTTTGTGAGATTAAGAGTCTCTTATGGTTTGTCTCCCTCCTGATCCCATCTTGTTTCATTTATTCTTTTCCTACCCCCCAAACCCCACACATTGCATCTCCACTTCCTCATATCAGGGAGATCATATGATAGTTGTCTTTCTCTGATTGACTTACTTCTCTTGTTTTCATTTTTCTTGGGAAAATACCTAGGAGTTGAATTTCTGGGTCATATTCTAAGTACATATTTAACTTCATAAGAATCTGACAAATTGTTTCTCTAAGTGTCATATACCATTTTACATTCCTGCCAGCAATATATGAGAGTTCTTTCTAAAAAAATTACTCAATTTAAGGTTACTCAGTTTAAAAAAATTAAAAGCATCTTTATTCTTACCTATGATATTCCTCATGGCTTTAGGTCCTGGGTTTTATAATATCCTAGACAATACTATAATCAACAACTTTACCGATACCTGCTTGATGAAACAAAAGAAAAGTGCATTTGGGTCTTCTGTTCCTCGGACTCTCTTCCTGGTTCAGGAAGAAGCTTTTACTGCTCCTGGTCCTGCTGATTATCAGGTAATTTAATATAATGTTAAATTCATATTAATTTAAATAAATTTAAATAAATAAATTTAAATTCAATTAATATTAATATAATATTCTTTATATCTAATACCAAGACTTAGGGCTTAAAAAAATCACATGTGACATATATCTCATTACTTTAAGCCATACTATTATTATTATTATTTTTAAAGATTTTACTTATTTATTTGAGAGAGACACCCAGAGAGGGGGTTGCACAGGAAGGAGCACAGGGAGAGGGACAAGCAGACTCTGCACTGAGTGCGGAGCCCAACATGGGGCTCAGTCTCATGATGCTGAAGTCAGGACCTGAGCTGAAACTAAGAGTCAGATGCTTAACTGACTGAGCCACCCACGTGCTCCAAGCCATACTATTAATGAAATTATTTGTATGTGGTAATTTATGGCACAAGAATAAACATTAATTTCGTTCATAACTATGTTTGTAATTTCTTTTCAAAGATGAATCTTGTTTATTTCTTTGAGGATCTCATATGTATTTCTTTAAATATTTACCTTCTTTAAAAATTACTCCACTAAAAAAAAAAAAATAGAATAAAATTACTCCACTATTTTCTGAGGTTAATTTAGGATCCCTTTAAATGATTTTTGTGGTTTTATAGTTTTTGTGTAGAAGTCTTACCCATCTTTATTAGATTTATTCCTTGGTATTTAATCTTTTCATGTTTTTTAGTTCTAATGGTACCTTTTAAATGTTTCATTGTTTAACTTTCTTCTACTGGTATAAAGAAATATAATAGTCTTTATTAAAGATTTGCTTTACCAATAATCCATACTTCTTGCTAAATTAAATTGTTAATTCTACTAATTTATAATTAGTTTGAAAAAAATTTCCTCAAGCACAATTATGCCACCTGTGAATGATAGTTTATATCTTTTCTCCAAGTGGTTGATCTTTTATATATTTTTTTGTTTTCCTGGACTTCTGCATCTCAAAACAGAGTATCAAAGATGATAATTATATGAGTAGATAGTAAAATATTTTGTTGGATTTCTCAGTTTTTTGAAAGCAGAATGTTGTATATGTTTTTGATTTACCGATAATTTACTTTCACAAAAGGTAGAGAAAGGTATGGAAGGAACTCATGTCTTAGCTTAATTTTGACTAAATAAAGAGAACTAATGAAATAGAAGGGAAGAATATTTTGTAAATAGTGATCATGTTATTTTACAGTTTAGAATTGTCAAAGAAGAGATTATGGACATTATTAGATATATACAAGGAACTTAGATAATCCCTATTTCAAAATGATCAATAGAAAATAAGAAATGTTCTTAAGATCAGAGACTCTAACAATAAAACTAGCCTAAAAGGGTTGATGGGAAGATGAAGTCATGAGTAAAATTTTGACAATGAAGTTTTGCTACACGTTAAACTTTTTAGAGGACATTTTTAAAAGAACATTGAAATATATGTGTATATATTTATCATTTATTCTTTCTCACTCCTAAAGAATTTGAGAAAGTTTGAAGAATGTACATATGGAAAAGTAAAAGTAGCTAACAGTAAGGGTAAAAAATATAGATAGAGCAGATAGATATTTTATAGTCAGAATATAAATAGAAGTTAAACATTGGGGAAGTTTGAACATAGTTGTCAAATCATAAAAGAACATGTACAAAACAGTGGAAACATAGTATCTGTCCTATTGTAGACACTCAGGAAATTGGAAGTGAATAAATGAATATGAAAGAGAAGCATAGAACTGTACTCCAGGAAGCTTAAAGTGAAGGACAACTTATTGTAAGAAATACTACAGAAAATTAAAATTAGTTTGTATAATTTTTGTTTGGCAAAAAAAAAAAAAAGTAGCTAAAAACTCTGTAGGGGTGAGGTAGATGAAATGGGGATAGTAGAGCCACTGAAATGCTGAATTGGATTTATCCTTCCTATCAGAGAAAATTATTTTCAACCCACAGGTGGAACACACATGGTTTATAGGAAATTGAATCCTAAGATGTTTATGGTGGTACTGTAAGAATACTCTTGTGCAATGAAGTTAAATTTTAAAGTCATTTTTGCACAGGGTGCTAATCTTCTCTGTGTTGTTCCAGTTTTAGCATATGTGCTGCCAAAGTTATCACTCTAGTGCTTTAAATTAGTTAAAAACTTCAGATATAGCTGAAATAGATCTCATTGTAATGGAAGAACAGCTGTAAATCATTATCTGTAATCCTCGGGAGTTGCTCAAGATTTGTAGGCATAAAAGAAAAATGGAATAAATATAGGTTTTCCTTATTTAAACAAATATTAAAATTTCACAGCAAGATTTTTATGAATTCTTACAAAATTTTATTTTATTTGTATATATATTCTAATGTAGTAAAAAAAGTGTAACACTAAATTTACCATCTTAACCATTTTAAGTGATGATATAAGTATATTTGAAATGCATCATGAACATTAGTGCTTTTTAGTATATTTTTGTTGTATTTTATTTAATATGTACTAGAAGTTCATTATTCTAAGTAACCGGACATTTAAATTTAAAAGAATTATTAGAATTATAACTTGCAAGCAATTTTTACAAAGCCCTCATTATAATCTTTATTCTCCACTGAAGATAATGAGACAGCATAGCATAGTGATTATGAGAATGATCTCTGATGTCAGAGTACTTGAATATATTTTCTTGCTCTGTCACTGACCTTGTGTAAGTTATTTAAACTCTGTGCCTTGGTAAAATGGAGATCATAATAGTACATACTTTGAAGCATTATTGTGAACACTAAATGAGTCAATACATATAAAATACTTTAAATAGCTTCTGGTACATAGTAAAACTTAATACCTTTTGTTATTATTGTTGATAATTAAAAATTACCCACAGGTTTAACCCACACTCTTTTAGTTTATGTAAAATTTGATAAACTGTAATCAAGAGTGAAAGATACAATAAACATGCCTAAGTTAAAAATCCAGTCTGATAAACTGTGTTGAATTGCAGTATTAATCCATTTATATTTAGTGCGATTACTGATACATTTGTGTGTACAGAAACCATATTGTTTCATATATTTTATTGACTTCTTTGTCTTAGCATTTTTTCTTACCTCACCTTATTCTTTGAATTAGTAAGGTATTTTACATTATTCTATTTTATCTATTTCTATAAAAATTTTAGTTATGTATTGTCTTATAGTGTTTTAGTAGTGGCCACCAAAATTACAATATGTATCCTGTAATTTTTGTAGTTTAATAAAAAGGATTACTTTTACCACTTTCTCAATATGTGAACTTAAAATATTTTAGTTCCATTTTGGTACCTCCTATTTTGTTAATTTTTGTTATACACCTTAAGTTTATGTATATTATGAAGCCTTTGAATATTATTGTTTTTATAGTCAATATTTCTTCATATTTACCAAAACATTTACCTTCTCTTTTGTATTTTGTTTCTTTTTGCATTTCTGGGTTTCTGTATCAAATCGTTTTTCTTCTGCCTGAAAAACTCCCTGTAGTACTTCTTTTGGTTAAGGCCTGTTGATGATGAATTATTGTAGTTTTGTCCGAAAATGTCTTTGTCATTTTTAATTTGGGGGATTGGATTTGTAGGTTCGTAGTTATTTTCTTTCAGCACTGCAAGGATGTTATTTTATTGTTTTAGGCCTTTTGTTATTTCCATTGAGAAGTACATTGTTAAGTTTATTGTTTCTCCTCTGAAGGCAACTATTTTTTTTTGTCTTTTTCTTCAATGTGTCAAAACAGTGGTTCTCTGTGGTTCTATTTATTTGCCTGTGGTTTGCAGAGCCTCTGGGTTGATTTCTTTCATCAGATTTAAATAATTTTTACTATTATGTATTCCTATTTCTTCTGTCCCATTCTTTCCTATCTTTTGGGGACTCTAATAAATAAATATGTTACATCTATTTACTATGCCTCAAACATCTCTTATAATCCCTATGTATCATGTTCTCTTTTTTTCTTTGTGCTTCAGTTTATTTTTTATTTAAATTCAATTTACAGATAATTTATTATCGGTTTCAGAAGTAGAGGTCAATGATTTAGCTGTCTTATATAATACACAATGTTCATTACATTATGTGCCCTTCTTAATGTCTGTCATTCAATTACCCCATCCAACCACCCACTTCCCACCAGCAACCCTTTGTTTATTCTCTATTATCAAGAGTTTCTTATGGTTTGCTTCCCTTTCTATTTTCATCTTATTTTAGTTTTCCTTCCCTCTCTCTGTGTTCATCTGTTTCGTTTCTTAAATTGCACTTATGAATGAAATCATATGGTATTTGTGTTTCTTTTTTGACTTGTTTTGCTTAACATAATATCCTCTAGTTCCAGTCACATCAGTGTAAATGATAAGTATTCATCCTTTCTGATGGCTTGGTAATATTCCATTGCATATATACACCTCATCTTCTTTATCCATTCATCTGTTGGTGGACATCTGGGTTCTTTCCATAATTTGGCTATTGTGGACATTGCTGCTATAAACATTGGAGGGCATGTACCCCTTCAAATCAATATGTTTGTATCCTTTGGGTAAATAACTAGTAGTGCAGTTGCTGGGCTGCAAGGCAGTTCTATTTTAACTTTTTGAGGAACCTCTGTACAGTTTTCCAGAGTGGATGTACCAACTTGCATTCCCACCAACAGTGTAAGAGGGTTTCCCTTTTGCCTCAGCCTCACTAATATCTATAATTTCCTGACTTGTTAATTTTAGCTTTTTATCTTGATGAAGTCCCAATAGTTTATTTTCGCCTTTGTTTCCCTTGACTTTAGAGCTTTGTCTAGCAAGAAGTTGCTACAATTGAGGCCACAGAGGTTGCTGCCTCTAGGATTTTGATGGATTCCTGTCTCACATTTGGTCTTTCATCCATTTTGAGTCCATTTTTATGTAAGGTGTGAGAAAGTGGTCCAATTTTATTTTTCTGTGTGTGGCTGTCCAATTGTCCCAAAACTGCTTATTGAAGAGATTGTTCTTTTTTTCCATTGGATATTTTTTCCTGCT